AGCTTTTCACTCTGACGTCAGTATTTATTTTAAAAGACTGTGTAATTTCAAAGATATGATTAATTCCAAAAAAAAAAAACATTATTTAAGAAATTCAGTGCAATATAGAAAGAAATATGGGTACCGAATGAAAGAGGAAATTTCTTTAGAAGTCAAGAAAATTTAAATCGCTTGGATTCACAAGGACGAATAGGTAATTTTTTAAGCTGCTAAAGCTAGAAGAACGAAATTCGAAAATGTTATCGAGTTTCTATAAGTCCTTAACATATAATTTTTTCAAAAATATATATTGCGAAATTTCAATATTGCCACCAGTGTAAAAAAATCCCGAAAATCGCGGCGTTAATTTGCCAGGAATCCCGGGATTTTCGGGATGTAAAAAAGGCCAGGATCCCGGGACTAACATTCCTAGTATGTTTGTAAATAACTCATTAGTACCGCGCATTAGTGGGGTACTAGAGAATTCATTCGCTATTGGTAACCATCGGTAGCTACCCGCCGGCAACCTGGCAATTCACCCATGAACTTAATAATGACAATGTCATTGGGAGTAATCAATTTACAGTGAGGAACTAGTGAATTCAACAGACTTACCAGGCCACCATTTTCCTTAGAATACATTGGCCTAATAAATTCACCAGCTGCCTTTCCGTACTATTTAGAGATTTTGTAGTACATACATACATACTTAAAATTTTACTGTTTTCCAATCTAAACTAAAATTTTAAATCCGTTTTTCACGCAACGAGTGATATTTATGTACTATTCTATTCTATTGCAAAACTGTTTACTTTGCCCTCTTCAAAAAATGTATGTATGTATATGTATGTATTATGTTTTATTGATGAGCAATGTTTTCCATACATTCCACAGGTATGCGGGCTCTTTGTTGAATCGATGCCAAAAATTCAAACTGTCTGCTATTTTCCGTTTAACTTGGCTTTGGCCACAAAAAGTTCACCGCGAGTGGCTATTAAATATCACACAAATGTCTATAACATACTTATTGCATATTTTGATGTTCAAAAGTCCCTGAGTGTAATGAAGTGAACTTAAACTTAAACTTGTGTACATATGTATGTACATACATACATATTTTATACATATACGTATGCATATATACCCGTTAATGCAGAGCTAAGGCCACATTTTTTATATGCATTTCGGTTAATTTTGGAATACTAGTTGACCTTTAGCGAGTACTCATTACATGCGTACATGGAGTATGCCCGATATTTTTAGGGTATATGAATGTAACGTGTTACCCTAGGCAAAAAAGTTCCTTCAATGAGGAATCAAATCTATCTCCAGGCTATGTTCTAGTTGTAATTTGTTTTCATATGCAGCATTATTTTGCTTGTAGTGACTCCACATATGCAATGTATTTACAATCGCAAAGTAATTATTTATGAAGGGTTGTATAAAAATAACGATGCCTTTTAGAACAAAAAAATATGATATTAACTTTGGTTAATATTTATGCATATACTTTCGGGTAAGTATGGACATACAATGCCCTACATACACACATTCAAATACTACGGTGGCACGAGCGCCAATCAAATATTGTCTGGCAAAGGTATTTTCCGCCTGAACAGGTGTTTTTACCGCTTTCATTCTTTCCGACATTTCCCTAGAATTTCTCGCTAATACATTAAGCCTATGTACATATGTATATATGTACATGTGTATATATGTATGAATGTATGTATGGAGGCATGTTGATGAATAGAAAAGTACGACAGCAACAACTGCAACAAACTCTCCGGTTGAGCTTTTGTCGCTATTCAAGAAAAAAGCAGACTAGCAGCTGAGCTACTTGTTTTAGACACCGTTTCTAACGTAATACACACACACTGATATAAGTAAGTAATGCAATACAGAAAATTCAGCACTTGACAGTCGACACATCCCACTGTTGGGTGAGTTTTTGACCCAAACGTTGTTTTTGTTTGCACTCTCGTTTAGTGCCGCGAATGTGTGAACACACAAACATGTAAATATGTACATATGTAGGTAAGTACGAAAGGGAAATTGTTGTAAGTCTTATTTATATTCGCGCGTGCATTTTGTTGCTGCCGCGTACACACATGCATACATACTAGTGTCCAACCGAAGGTTCAGCCTGGCTTCAGTATTCGGCCTATTCGGCTGGTTTTTTATATGTATTCGGCTTGGGTTTTGGCCTTCGGCTGAAAATGTAAGAACTCTATTTCGACCGCTTTGCGCAAAATTATCGTATGTTACAAAAACCAAATTTTACAGGAAAGTGTTGTTTGTATTTTGCTCTGCCCATAGCCCATACAGTAATTTCGCCCACAAAAAAATTTCACCTACAATAAAATTTGCAGTCAATTTTTGGAGTTTTAAGCGGTAATATTTGAACAGGTGATCCAACGAAAAGTGAATTTCGTAAAAAAAGTAAGATACGACAATTTTGCAGCTTTCCCTGGGAAGTGAAGCGTCAAAAAACAAACAAGCATGAAAAAGAATTTACAATTGCATCCTGCACAAACCAAAAATTTTTAGCGCCTGTGGAAAAATGTATATTTGTAAAGTGTTCCCTTTATTTAAAAAATAATAAAAATAATTTGTTACGGAATAAAAAATTGCAGGCCTATTACTCGGCATCGGTATTCGGCCGAAAATTGCCTAAATTTAGTAGTTTAGAATAGTACTTAAAATTCGCCTTCGGCTTCGGCCACAATTCCAGCTTCGGTCGGACACTAATGCATACATACATATGTATGTATGTACTATGTATGTACATATGTTTGTGTGTGTATACCTAATATTGTATAATATTTATACGAGCATAAAAGCAGCGTGCACGTCTTTACTTCTTGCGTTTTCAAGGATACACTCTCAAGTGAATTAAAATTTTTACTTTTACTTGCAAAATCTATGCCACTCTTTGCATATCCAAGGTGAATATATGTATGTACTGATTCCCATATGTTTGTGTGCACATATAAACGCATAAATACAAATTCAAGTACAAATGTATGTACATACATACAACATAAATAAGTTCATTAGGAATTATTAAAAAATAAATAAATAAATAAAACAAAATAAAAAAAACCACGTATGCTCCACAGAATACCACCAACTACACATTCCACACTAATGTGCATACATACATATGTATGTATATGCGAGTTTCCATCCGCGCCTATAACCATGCTTTATTAAATCACTATGCACTTTTACACTTCAATTAAATGCCATAATACAATTTTCAATTCCATAAATATATTTCGAATCGCGAACAGATATTTAAAAAAATTATTCGAGCCACCGACGGGCACATTTAACATTCGCACGGTTGCACCTTTGAAAGTGGTATTCACGGGGACGATAGACTTCTTTTTTCGGGCACTGAAGCTGCGAGCGTCTTGGAGGAAACTGATTTGTCGTCCCGCAGCGAATAGGTTAGATTGGTTGTTAGCCGCCGATTCCTGTATGCATTCAATGAAGCTTTAGAAAGCTTTGCGCTTTTCCTCTCACCGGTGGAATGCGCGTTGAAAGTACAGTGAGACATACAACTAATCCAAACTAGTTGCATATCGCCCTTGGCGCGCAATAACATACAACATCAAACAACATACTAGGTGCGTTTCTTTATACACTAGTTACCGCCTTTTTGATTTAAGTATTGCGCTTAAAATTGTGCCGCAAAAACTTGGCCTTAACTGCCCTAGAAATGTAAATTTTCTATGTTACCGCCTATTCCGCCACACTAAAGCTAAAGCTAAAGATAAAGATAAAGATAAAGATAAAGATAAAGATAAAGATAAAGATAAAGATAAAGATAA